ACCCAGGAGGCGGAGGTTGCGGTGAGCCGAGATTGCACCATTGCACTCCAGCCTGGGTAACATGAGTGAAACTCCGTCTCAAAAAAAAAAAAAAAGAAACACGACCTCTCCTCATTCTTCATAGCTTCTTATATTTCTGCAAAGGGTTCTCTTCCAAAGTTTGCAAGTATGGCCATAGTCTGTTAAATTGTGAACACTTTCTTCAAAAACAGCTTTGTTGGCCAGGCGTGGTAGTTCACACCTGTAATCCCAAGACTTTGGGAGGCCAAGGTGGGAGGATTGCTTGAGCTCAGGACTTTGAGACCAGTCTGGGCAGCATAGTGAGGCCCCATCTCTACAAAAAATACAAAAATTATACAGATGTCATGGCAGGCAGCTGTAATCCCAGCTACTGGAGAGCTGACATGGAAAGATTACCCGAGCCTGGGGAGACTGAGGCTGCAGTGAGCCATGAATGTACCCCTGCATGCCAGCCTGGGTGACAGAGTGAGACAAAAAGAAAAACAGCTGGCCAGACATGGTGGCGCATACCTATAATCCCAGCACTTTGGGAGGCTGAGGCAGTTGGATCACTTGAGGTCAGGAGTTTGAGACCAGCCTGGCCAACATGGCGAAACCCCATCTCTACTAAAATACAACAATGAGCTGGGCTTGGTGGTGGGCACGTGTAATCCCAGCTACTTGGGAGGCTGAGGCAGGAGAATCACTTGAACCCAGTAGGCGGAGGTTGCAGTGAGTCCAGACTGTGCCACTGCACTCCAACCTGGGCGACAGAGCGAGACTCCATCTCAATTACAAAAATAATAAATAATGTTTTTAAATAGCTTTATTGAGATGTAATTTACATAGTATACAATCCACCTATTGAAAGTGTAAAATTTGATGATTTTTTTGTACATTCACAGAGGTGTACATTCATCACCACAGTCCATTTTAAAACATGTTCGCCTTCCCAGAGGAAAACCCCACCCCCTTAGGCTGGGCTCCGTGGCTCACGCCTGTAACTCCAGCACTGTGGGAGGCTGAGGTGGGCAGATCATGAGGTCAGGTGTTTGAGACCAGCTTGGCCAACATGGTGAAACCCCATCACTACTAAATATGCAAAAATTAGCCGGGCGTGGTGGCACGTGCCTGTAATCCCAGGTACTCGAGAGGCTGAGCCAGGAAAATCACTTGAACCCAGGAGGTAGAGGTTGCAGTGAGTCCAGACCGTGCCACTGCACTCCAACCTGGGCAACAGAGTGAGACTCCATCTCAAAAAGAAAATGAACTACCCTGACCAACATGGTGAAACCCCGTCTTTAAAAAAAAGAAAAGAAAATGAGAGAGAGAGAGAAAGAAAGAAAGAAAGAAAGAGAAAACCCCGTTCCCATCCGCAGTCACTCCCCATTCCCTCCCCCAACCCCGGCAGTCACTAATCTGCTTCCTGTCTCTATGGATTTGCCTGTTCTGGGTGTTTTATGTCAAGGGAATCTCACACTATGTGGCTTTTTGTGTCTGGCTTCTCTCACTTGGGCATCATGTTTTTGGGGTTCACCCACATGGCAGCGTGGATCAGCGCTTCCTTCCTTTTTAAGGCGGAATCACATTCCACATGTGGAAGGAACACATTTTGTGCGTCCACTCATCTGCTGACAGGCATTTGGGTTGTTTCCACCTTTGGCTACTGTGGACTGAGCTGCTGGGCACATCCCCGGCAAGTTGATATGAGGATATGTGTTATTGCTCGGGATGTATGCTGAGAAGTGGAATTGCTGGGTCATATGGTAACTATGTTTAACAGTTTGAGGAGCTGCCAGACTGTTTCCCAAAGCAGTGGCCACATTGTATATGCTCACTAGTACTGTCTGAGAATTCTGATTTCCCCACATCCTCATCAACACCTGTTACTGTTCATTTTGGGGTTGTATGGGTTCTTTAAATAGCCACCCTAGTGGGCGTGAAGTGGTATCTCACTGCGGTTTTGATTTGCATTTCCGTAATGGCTAATGATTTTGAATAACTTTTGATATTTTGATATGCTTCTTGGCCATTTGCATATCTTCTTTTTTTTACTTTTTATTTTTTGAGATGGAGCTTCGCTCTCGCTGCCCAGGCTGGAGTACAATGGCGCGATCTCGGCTCACTGCAACCTCTGCCTTCCGGGTCCAAGCAATTCTCCTGCCTCAGCTTCCAGAGTAGCTGGGACTACAGGTGCACCCCACCACACCTGGCTAATTTTTGTATTTTTAGTAGAGACAAGGGTTCGCCACATTAGCCAGGCTGGTCTCGAACCTTTAACCTCAGGACATCCACCTGCCTAGGACTACCAAACTGCTGGGATTACAGGCGTGAGCCACCACACCTGGCCCATTTGCATGTCTCCTTTTGAGAAATGTGTATTCAGACCCTTTGCCCTTTATTATTATTATTTTTTGTTGTTGTTTTGTAAAAAACGATTCTCCAGCTAGGAATGGATGTACATGCCTGAGCCACCATGACTGGCCGGCCCATCTCAATTTTTGAAAATTTTTTGGCCGAGCTCAGTGGCTCAAGCCTATAATCCCAGCACTTTGGGGAGGCCAAGGTGAGCAGATCACCTGAGGTCAGGAGTTCAAGACCAGCCTGGCCAACATGGTAAAATCCCATCTCTACCAAAATTACAAAAAAAATTAACCAGTTGTGGTGGCGAGCACCTGGAATCCCAGGTACTCGAGAGGCTGAGACAGGAGAATCGCTGGAACCAGGAAGCAGAGGTTGCAATGGGTGACAGCAGCAACAGCAAAACTCTGTCTCAAAAAAAAAAAAAAAAAATCAGTTGACCATAAATGTAGATGTAATATTTTAAAAGTTAATCTATGTTGTGGCATATATTTATACTTTGTGCCTTTTTATTTCTAGATAGTAGCAACTGTAAAAACTTTTGAAGATCAGACAAGCATCCAATATATTTTTGTTTTATTTATTTATATTCATTTGTTTGTTTCATTGAGATGGGGTCTCATTACATTGCCCAGGCTGTTCTCAAACTCCTGGGCTTCCGTGATCCTCCCATCTCAGCTTCCTGAGTAATTGGGACTAGGGGGGTGAGCCACCACACCTGGCTTCCAACATCCCCTCATAAAGGGACCATGCCCTTGGCCAGGCGCCTGTAATCCCAGCACTTTGGGATGCCAAGGCGGGTGGATCACGAGGTCAGGAGAACGAAACCATCCTGGCCAATATGGTGAAACCCCGTCTCTATGAAAAATACAAAAATTAGCCAGGCCTGTTGGTGGGCACCTGTAGTCCCAGCTGCTCAGGAGACTGAGGCAGGAGAATCGTTTGAACCCGGGAGGCAGAGGTTGCAGTGAGCCAAGATGGCGCCACTGCACTCCAGCCTGGCAACAGAGCGAGTCTCCATCTAAAAATAAAAAAGGAACCATGCCCTTGTGAACTCAGCTCACTCTGGCCACCTGGGTGTCTGATCTAGGTCCGGCCCCTAGGGGCAAGACACTAAGCTCTGTCCTGTGTCGTTCCCCTTCCTCCCGGGCAGGTAGTCTACATAAACGATCAGGTGTTCGTGGCTGCCATCATCTTGAGCGAGAAGCAATGCAGAGATCAGTTCAAGGAAATGAACAAGAGCTGTGATGGTGAGTGCTAAGGCTGGGGTGGTGGACTCCCCATCCAGTGCTCTCGACAGCCCCCAATCTTCCTGAGTCTCCTGATCCTGTTTCCTTAGCCTTGCTCCTCATGCTGGGTCAGAAGGCGAAGACACTGGAGGTGGAGATAGAAAAGGAGAAGACCGTTTGCACGAAGGATAAGGAAGGCATGCTGCTGAGCAAACGCATGGCGGAGGAGCAGCTGGCCGAGTGTGTGAAATCGCAGGAGCTGCAGCGCCAAGAGCGTCAGCTGGCCCAGGAGCAACTGCAAAAGGTGCAGTCCCTCTGCCTGCCCCTGGACAAGGACAAGTTCGAGACCGATCTTCGTAACCTGTGGAGGGACTCCATCATCCCACGCAACCTGGACAGCATGAGTTACAACATCTACCATCCCCTGGGTTCGGAAGTGGCCTCCATCCGCAGAGCCTGTGACCACATGCCCAGCCTCATGACCTCCAAGGTGGAGGAGCTGGCGCGCAGCCTCCGGGCCGGTATTGACCGCGTGACCCACGAGAACTCGGACCTCCAACGCCAGAAGCTGGATGCGGAGCGGGGCCTGCGGGCCAGTCAGGAGGCCAAACAGAAGCTGGAGAAGGAGGCTCAGGCCCGGGAGGCCAAGCTCCAAGCCGAATGCTCCCGGCAGACCCAGCTGGCGCTAGAGGAGAAGGCGGCACTGCGGAAGGAACGAGACAGCCTAGCTAAAGAGCTGGAAGAGAAGAAGAGGGAGGCGGAGCAGCTGAGGCTGGAGCTGGCCATCAAAAACTCGGCCCTGGACACCTGCATCAGGGCCAAGGTGGGCGTGTGGGCTCCAGAGGGAGGATGCAGTGGAGTGGGTCCAGATGCCAAGGGGGCGGTGGTGATATTGAACTTGAAGTTGGAGCTGGCTTTGAGGATGGCTTCCTGGTCTAGGTTAGCTGAGTTACGAATCTCTAGGATCAGGCATTCAGATCAGGATAGAGATTGGAATGAGGATGGGCATTGAGAGGAGAGACTGGAATTCGGCCGGGCGCGGTGGCTCATGCCTGTAATCCCAGCACTTTGGGAGGCTGAGGTGGGTGGATGACCTGAGGTCAGGTGTTCAATACCAGCCTGGCCAACATGGTGAAACCCCATCTTTTTTTAAAAAAAAAAGACTGGAATTAGAGTGCCAGGCACAGTGACTCACGCCTGTAATCCCAACACTTTGGGAAGCCAAGGTGGGCAGATCATGTGAGGTCAGAGGTTCGAAACCAGCCTGGCCAACATGGCAAAACCCCATCTCTACTAAAAACATAAAAATTAGCCAGGTGTAGTTGCAAGCGCCTATATTCCCAGCCACTTGTGAGGCTGAGAGGTGAGAGGATCTCTTGAGCCCAGGAGGTTGAGGCTGCAGTGAGCCAGGATCGCGCCACTGCACTGTAGCTTTGGTGAAAGACCGAGACCTTATCTCAAAAAAAAAAGAAAGAAAGAAAGAAAGAAAGAAAAAGAAAAGAATTGAGGCTGGCATTTAAAAAATGAAATTATGAGGCCGGGCGCAGTGGCTCAAGCCTGTAATCCCAGCACTTTGGGAGGCCGAGGCGGGTGGATCACGAGGTCAAGAGATC